CCAATGATCTGATCCTGGTTCAGACTCCATGTGCAGTTTGTACCTGTTAGTGACTGAGATCGACCACAGCAGAGTGCTGGGCGGAGTCTCTGTTCTGAGGAGGCGGAGCCAGCATATCATATTACAGCTGCAGCAGGTGGACTCTGCTCACCTGAAAGCTTTTCCTGCTGAAGCTAAATTTATCCTTGAAGCTCTGATTGTCTGGCCCAGCAGAGTCGGGCCTTTGGTTCTGATCCAGGTGGGTTCTGGGGACAGAGACGTTGGGTTTCTGAGTGACTCAGAGGTTTTCAGCAGCCTGGCAGGAACAGGAAGTGGTTTTGTTGTTGCTCCTCTTTAACACAAACTCTCTGCAGGTCCTCGTCTTCTTCAGTCAGACCAAGACTTCAGCTGTAAAATAAATGTTTACTTGTTGTGGAGCTGGTCCAGTCAGGACTCTGGTTCCAACTGAACCCTCAGAACCTGTGTCTTCTGTCGGACCTGCAGACGGTGTTTCAGACGGAGGATGTCTCTGGAGGTGGACTTGTTGCTGCAGGAGGCCAAGGAGAGCATCGAGGCGGCCCAGAACTACCGCAGTGAGCTGCAGCAGCGCCTGCAAGGCCTCAACCAGGCCCGCAAACAGGTCCGCTCTAGACCTGCCCAGACCTGAACCCAGCAGGCTGAGCTGTCTGTCCTCCTCGTCTCGTCCTTCCCCTTAACTAACCTGTCCAACTCCTCAGCAGGAAACCCTGCAGCTACTTCCTGTTTCTGCTGAACCACAGAGTCTACAGGTAGAGAGGACAGGGTCTACAGGTAGAGAGGACAGAGTCTACAGGTAGAGAGGACAGGGTCTACAGGTAGAGAGGACAGAGTCTACAGGTAGAGAGGACAGGGTCTACAGGTAGAGAGGACAGGGTCTACAGGTAGAGAGGACAGAGTCTACAGGTAGAGAGGACAGGGTCTACAGGTAGAGAGGACAGGGTCTACAGGTAGAGAGGACAGGGTCTACAGGTAGAGAGGACAGGGTCTACAGG